TTCTTTCACTAAGTAAGGGATTGGACTGGGTCATTTCCAGGAGTCCTTCCCAGAGAACTATATAGTTTGGATTGTAATCTTCCTTTTGGTTGTGTACATTCCGAAATTGTGCAATTCAATTCGTGACTTTGAATAATTACCTAAATGCGTATTTTATTCAAATAATTATAAAATGTATATTTCAGAGTAAAATGTATACTAAAAGGAGTATTTTGTGCAAAAATATGTATGTGATTTTATGAGGTTTAAAAAGGCAGATTAATGTAAGAATGGATTGAAAAAGGTTTATGAATGAGCCCATATAAAACTATCATAAACTGTAAATCGAACTGAACTGTCCATCCCTAGCTATATATCTTGGTGGGTGTGTACTGCTCCATTTATATGTCTCATATATCACATTTGTTATGGTCCTTACATGTCGCTATGTATACATTGTTTTACACACTCATTGAGTTCTTTTTCCAATTTTCTCCCCCTGTTTTCGCTTTTGAGAGCGTTACCATTCCAACTTTCCCAGATTTTGCACAATGCCACCACTCAGCAGGGAAGACCCTATAAAAGTGTGCTATAGTGTTTGCCACATCACTTCCAAAATGCATCACTCCTTTCCCAGCCATTTACTGGGCATGTCACTGTGCCAATTAATTTTGGGATAGGAGAGACTGTTTTAACACTTTAGGAGAGTGGGGAAGAAATGTAACTTTTTTCAAAAAATAGGAATTAGTACTGAAGGAAAAAAATCTCACTGTGGGAGATTGCACGACTTGGTGCTTACTGCTTTGCTAATCCGCAGACAGCACATTGTTCATTCTCTTGTGAGGTTGCCTTTTATGTAGCATTGCCCATGATCTCCTTTGTACAGTAGTGATATAGCTGTCATATTCAGTTTTCCTGTCTCCTAGGCAGTGTTTACGCATCACGAAAACTGCTGCTTGAAGACAAAACATGGCCAAATATAATCACGACAACTATCTTGTGGGTCTCTTGGGGAGAAAACACAAGTATTATTATATGTAGTTTTAATTTTGTGAAGAGAGTTGTGAACTCGGTATATCTTATTTCCCTGTTGCCTTGTAAAAGATTCACCTTGTGTTTAATATTCAGCTGTTTTTTATTGGAAGAAAATGGGTTGTTGTACAAATAGTTCTAAATGCCAAGCTAGTTCAAATACATAAATAATGAGAACTCTGCTTTCATGGAACGTGACCTGCCTCCTTTGTACTGCAAAGCTAAAATGTATGTGATGCGCCTGTAGAAGCCGACACCAAATGAAAGAACAGGTTGAAAGAGGAAAACAAGGGGCAGGGACTGGAGCTGCCTATATGCTAGTTTAATTCCAAGCCCTTTGGAGGTAGCAGCATCAAGCTATAAATTCATAGATTGATGGCCAGTCACACGACTGTGGAGATGAAAATACCATATTGCATGAATCACCTTCTGTCCCCTGGTGTAGAATGGTGCTGATAGAGGCAGTCAATGTGACTTCTTTATGAAAGAAATGTCAGTGCAGTCCTGATCATTTACAATGTATGGTTGTAATTTCTTTAGTGGTTTTCCATAACCTCGATGTTAGGAAAATTTCTTTTCTGAACTGAACACTACTGTTTTGTATTTAGATTAATCCTTTTGGAAATTCAGACAAGAAAATCTTTATAAAATTCTTATAAACCTACATGCTTCATAATAGCTTTTAAAACAATCTCATTTATAGGTAGGAAATATGTAACATTTATACATTGGGAATTATGTATACATTGGGAAAGCTTCAGGACCTGCCTATCTTCGCAATCACATCTTCCCTTATGAACCTGCATAAGCTCTAAGACAGTGGTTCTCAACCTGGGGTCCCCAGATGTTTTTGGCCTCCAACTCCCAGAAATCCTAACAGCTGGTAAACTGGCTGGGATTTCTGGGAGTTGTAGGCCAAAAACATCTGGGGACACCAGGTTGAGAACCATTGCTCAAAGATTTTCTGGGGAGGCCCTCCTCTCGCTCCCACCTCCGTCACCAGCGCAGTTGGTGGGGACGAGGTAGAGGGCCTTCTTAGTGGTGGCCCCCAGCTCTTGAACTCTCTCCCCAGGGAGATGAGACTGGTGCCCATCCTGTCCATTTTTCATAGACCTAAAACGTGGATGTTCACTAGATAATTTTGCCCCCCTCCAAAGCCATAATTCAATATCTTGCCCATGCACTTTACCCTAGATATAGTGTTCTAGTTGACATTGCCCTTTTAGCCCTGACTTATTATCTAGCTCCTGCACTTTATCCATCAGCCCTATCCTTACAACTGTATTGCACCAGCCCCTATGTAAGCCGCCCCAAGTCTCTTTGGGGAGATAGTGGCAGGATACAAAAATAAAGTTGTTATTGTTGTCACCGCCGCCATCATTAAAGCTTCTTACTGAGTGCAGCTCCCAGTTTTGGGAAACCTTTAATTAAACTAGTGGTTTGAGCACTGGATTATAACCAATGCTCGGGAAAGCAGGGCTAGATTCTTCACTTGGCTATAGAAACCCACTGGGTGACCTTGGCTAGATCTCATACTTTCAGACCCAGAAAACTCCTGATTAGTTTGTCTTCGAGTTGCCATACGTTGGAAACAACTTGAACTCACACAGCAAAACTGCTTTTAACCACAATTATGCATGTTCAGAGTATGCCTCCGTTCTAAATTACATTATCTTTACTTCACTGAAAAAATATTCCTTCTAGCTCAGTGTTACATGAGAATGCAAGTGGTTCAAAGTTTTCAGGAGGAATCCTATAACACCATGAGTATGTAGGCAGTCTCCAAGTTATGAACAAGCTAGGTTCTGTAGGTTTGTTCTTAAGTTGAACTTGTTTGTAAGTCTGAACAAGGACATTGGATAGCATGGGGAAGGGCTAACGCCCCTGTGGTGTTTGTTTTGCTGTCTGTGCCTCTGTTTAGAAGGTTTCACCATTTTCTGTCCCTGTGATCACTGGATTTTGAAAAATGTGGCTAGCTGTGGAAACAAGGATTGGTGATGAAGCTTCAGTTGAGACCCCTCTTTCTCATGATATCTTTTCCACGAGTGAATTTCCCTTCCAAGGGGTAGATTTCTCACATTTCCTGTTGTCTCACCCCCCGTTTTTAACTATGAATTGTTTATAAGTCGGATGTTTGTAACTCAAGGACTGCTGGTAATCAAGATTATTTGCTCAGATGGTTTATGTATGTATTTATTCATTCAGTTAGAATGAAAGAACATCATGCCAGGTTATTTGCAGAAGTTCTGCAATAAATTGTTGTGATATCTTTGTGATCTTTTGAAACTCTAGGATTATTTTTCTAGGATTATTTTTCTGTCTAACATCACAGCTATTTGTGTTGCATGTATCACTTGATCATAATCTTCTACTTGTGTAGTTCTTAAAAAGGACTACTTGGACCCAAAATGAGAGTGCATTGGAAAGCAACCAGGCAAGAAATTACTGAAGGGGTTATCTGATTTGATCTGTTCTATCTTCTGTCTCGCCAGTTCCATCTGCCTCCCAGTTCTTCTTGGACCCAAAATAATTCTGGGTTTTATGAAAGTGGGGGCAGAAAGTTAGTATTCATGTGTGAATTTCACCAGTCATATCCAGGACCCCCCTCCCCATGTTGAAAAATCCCATAAATGCCTTTGTATCCCTTCTTTCATGTCATGGGAGCATTCCATGCAGGAAATCAAGCCTCCTGAACCCTAGTGTTAGTTCCTTTTTGTTTCAGATGCAACAAATGCCTTCTTGGCTATTTCCAGCGGCACTTGCCATTCTAACAGTGGTCCTGACATTAGTTCAAGTGGAAGCCTTATTAAGTGTGCATTTTTACCTTCCTACCTCCTCAGCCCTGTCCTCTATATAATGGTAATTCTTTATAGAGGACAGGGGTGAGGAGGTAGAAAGGCAGAAAATGCACAAGAGTCAAATCTTCAAAACCTTTTTCTTTAGACCCCAAACCCTTTGTATTCAGAGAGGGGGCATTGTGCTACCACCTTCAGGGTCCTCCATTGTGCATTAAAGGCCCAAGAGCTTTCAGATAGAAGGATGACCATGCTCCAAGGTGATGCTATGTTGAATAGTTAATTGAGTGCAAGCTGGTAACTTCTGAGACAAAGGATAAAAGGACTAACATGGATCATACTTTACAACAGATGAAAATATATATCTTATGGCAATGTAGAAAGTCATTGATTTGTTTGCTTGTTTGTTTTTAAGGAATAAGCCTTCTTGAATTCCATCTTGGGAGAAAGAAGGGATATAAATTACATTAACAAACATTTAAATAAATAAGAATAGAAAGAGTGAGGAACTTGTTTGCAAATGCAGCATTTGAATGGATATCTGCTTTTAAATTTCTCAACAGTTTAACCAAATGTCCCTTAAATAATCCATATCAGGAACTACTACTGTTAGTCTTGGAAAGTTAATTCTTTCTGATTCATTGTGTCTGTGTTCATTCATACAGTTATTCCACAATCCAAAATGAACCCCTGACTTCTTATCAAAGCTCAGTTAGGATTTCACTCAAGCATGGAGATGAAATTCTCAGTATGTAATTATTCTGCATGCCTACCTTTCCCTGCTGTTTCTGTTTTTCATGCATTGTCAAAACATGCTGCTAAATAGTTGCTGAAAGCTATCTCACTTGAACTGCAGTCCTATGCACATTTATGTGGGAGTAAGCTCCATTGAACTCAGTGGGAATTGTGCTGTTAGAGACACATACTGTACTGTGATTTTGTGTGTCTGCATCCACAGACTTCGATGCATTCTCAAGTCTTATTCTTGCAATGCACTGCAGAATGTTAATAGCATATAACATCTTGCTTCCTCAGAGCTTGGGGAAATTCCCTTTTTGGTCTGCAACTTCCAGAATCCTCCAGCCATCATGACCAGGGGCCAAAAAAGCAACTTCCCCCAGCTCTGTGCTTACTGCATATGTTTGTCCTTTCTTGGCTTGTTGCTTATGCCTGTCCTTCCTTTGCTCTTCTCAGATTATGCACTCACCGTTGAGGCTGTGAAGCTGAAGCCATTCTTCATGGCAGGGCACACTTTTGAAATGACATGCAAGGTGTCCTCTCAGAACATCAAGTCTCCTCGATATTCAGTCCTCATTACAGCTGAGAAAACGCTGAATGATCAGACTCATCCTAATGGGACCACTCGCATAATTTCCCTCAATCAAGATTCAGTGGTCAGACGGGAAGACTGGACAGACCAGGACCGAGTGGATGGTGTGGTCTTGGAGAAGGTCCAGGAAAATGAGTTCCGCTACAGGATGTATCAGACACAGATTTCGGACGCTGGGCTATATCGCTGTGTGGTGACTGCATGGTCGCCCGGGGGTGGAGGCATGTGGCGAGAGGCAGTCAATGGCTTATCCAATCCCATCCAGATAGACTTCCAGATGTCAGGTCAGTACAAGTCTCTGTATGATCAGCAGTTGGGGGATAATATGATATTAGTTGTGCATCTGATGGTGATTAACTCAGTTGTAAAGCCTTTGTACAATTGGCCAGAATTTCTCCAAATATTTATTCTACTAAAAAACACAGCCACATTTAGTCACAAATATAAGTTTTCAAAAAGATATTCTGGAATCTTCGAGCTGGTCTCTCAGGTACTCTATTGTGTTACAAGATCCCTTTGCACACTAATATTTATTCTACTTATCTTCATGTACTAGGAGAAGCTTGGTGCTTTAGAAACTTGAAGGAAATGCTGTTACAAAATATTATTCTACAGATAGACTGTTGTCATATACTATTTCTCTATTTTATCCTTAGGAGGATTTCAGAGTATTGCAAGTAAAGGATATAAGGTCTAAGAAGCGATATTTTACATGGCTTTCTATATAAATTTGATGATAATTGCTCTAGCACTCTTGGAGAGTGGAGTTATTTGTTCTCTGTTCCATATTTTGCTGTCTGGAACATGTACAAACTCAAAGCTTTAACTTCTTCAATATCTGATCTCCTTAACCAGAGTAGTGTGTTGATCTTTTTTCTCTATTTCCCTAATACTTTTTGGGGAAATGGTTTTCCGCTCATCAGTACCATGAAGTCATCCAGACTGAAATAACTGTGAACCATTCAATACTTTTCTGTTTACATATCTAGTGTGTGTGCTTGTTTCTCTAAACCAGGGATTCTCAAAGTGTGCTCCATGGAGCCCTTGGAGCTCCATGAAATATACTGAGGTGCTCCACAATTACTTCCTTCTCCCTCCTACTCCTTTCTCCTCCCCCTTCAAGCTCTCCTTCCTCTTTCCTGCTCATCCCCCTCCCTCACCCACCAAAGCCTTTCCCTCTTCCTTTCTTGCTTCCAAAACCCTATTTCTCTCCCACCATTTAGGGGGTTCTTTGATTGTGCTTTTCCTGCACGGCAGAAGTGAGTTGAACTGGATGGCCCCTGGGATTTCTATTATTATTATTATTATTATTATTATTATTATTAGAAACACAACAAGATGAGTCCACAGCAGACACTCTGCTGGCTGTTGTATTGGATCACACGTTGGACACTTCCCAGCAAATAATGTGTGCCGATCCCAGTAAAGTGGTCTTTTGCAGCTAGCAGATGATAATTTTGTCAGCGCCGATTGTGTTTAAGTGCAGGCCAAGGTCTTTAGGCACTGTACCCAGTGTGCCGATCACCACTGGGACCACCTTGACTGGCTTATGCCAGAGTCTTTGCACTTATTATTATTATTATTATTATTATTATTATTATTATTATTATTACTACTACTACTATTACAAAGGCTGGATGGCCATCTATTGGATGTGCTTTGATTGTGCTTTTACTGCATGATATAATATAATATATAAGTATTTATTGGGACTCCACTAGAAACTTTTGCTTCAAAAAGGGCTCTGTGGCTGAAAAAGTTTGATAACCTCTGCTCTAAACTATGGAAGTGACCATTCGGTTAAGCGTAGCTTTGAACCCAGAGCTCTTCCCTGTCAATGTGTGAATTCATCTCATCCATCTTTGAAAGACTGAACATTGCTGCTCTTGAAGTATTCTGCTTGTTCCCTGTAGCACTGCCCATGTTTGACTGAGAGAGCCACTATTGTCTGAAGAGCTGATAATGCTGTCTTTTGAAAGCACCATTACCCACACAGTAGTGAGACCCAGCTGAGCGTGTCTGTGCTGTGTATGGGAAGAGATGTGTTTGATCATACCTTCCACAAACTGTTTCTGCTTGGTGGGTCATGTTTTGTTAGAAAGAAGAGACAAAAGACTCAATCTTTCCCAGGCAGTAGCAAAATGACAACTATAACTGTACTTGTGATGGGCTTACAGGAAGCAGTGTGTAATCCACAATTCTTGTATTGTATACCAATGATTGAAAATGGCAACAAGAATAAAACATAGGTTCTCTCTTACCGTTTTTCTTATTCACCTAATTAACACTGATTGGAGTGCATCAATTCTAACATGTTACCAATCAAATATTGTTTCATAGCATTGGATTAAGTTTTTTGCAACCAACTGAGGTTTTATACAAAATAAAATCTAAAATACTTTACTAACTTTACTATACTTTATTACCCCTTTTCATTCTAAATTGTGCCCAGCCCAATAGCCCTGTAAACCATAGAAGTCAATAAGAAATGGACAAGCTGTTAAAGGAAGTCTCAACAATTTCCACATAATAAAAGCCCTTAATGGTTGTTGCAGTAGACTTCTGTACTCTTATTGATCTTTTTCTTGTTCGAAGCTGGAAGACCGTATTTGGACTGGAAGACTTTCTTGCCACAAACTTGGCATTCTGCCAGACCTGTTTCAGAGCATCACTTTAGCTGAATGGTTTCATGTTTCAAGAAAAGCTCTTCGAATGTACTATCTCGAGGAACTGCCAGGCACTCTTACTCTTTCTCACTTTAAATTGGTGGCTATACTTTTATTGCAGAGGAGATTTTGGTTTTTCAATATTCTTCCAGAGGAGCCATGACTTACAGCATCTCTCTTAACTTTTATGGAAAAGTGTGTTTCAAAATATTTCCAGAAAGACAAGAACACCAGGGAAGAATCTTGTGGACATGAAATTCTTAATAGATTTCTTTTACTAGGGGTAGAATTAATACCACCATCTACCATGGCTTGATGCTATGGCATCATGGGAGTTGTAATGTCGCGTGACACCAACACTCTATGGCAGAGAAGATTAAAAACTTTGTAAAACCACATCTCCCTTTTTTCATGTCAGGAGCGACTCGAGAAACTGCAAGTCGCTTCTGGTGTTAGACAATTGGCCGTCCGCAAAGATGTTGCCCAGGGGATGCCTGGATGTTTGATGTTTTACCATCCATGATTCCATAACATTGATTCATGACAGTTAAAGTGATGTCTAACTGCATTAAGTCTACATGTAGATGACTCCAAGTTTATTAATCTTTTAGGTGGCACCAAATCCCTTGTTTTCTCTCCCCACCCCCCCAAAAATAGAGTCCTGTGGAATTTTTAAAAAAACTAACAAATTTACTATGGCATAATTATATTGTAATTAATTTTAAAAAATGGCCCAAGACACAAAATTCCATTCAAGTCACATTTGATACAGGTAGCTTTGTTTGGTCTATGAAAGCTTTTAATAACATAGGGGCTGTTTGACATTATCTCTGAGCAATCTGGGAGAAGGACCACATACCGAAATTATCTCCAAATTCAAATCTATGGACTTGGAGTCATTGTAGGACCATGGCTGTATCTGGAACTCTGTGTTGGTGGATAAAACACCTTGCGAAACCCAGCAATTTCATAGATCTGTATGCTTAAAACAGCCAGTTTGTACCAGATTGCTGTCTTTTCAGGCAACTGTACCCAACACCTACATCACTTTTTCCAGTAGGAGCTGGAAGGAAAAAATCTTGGTGGCTAAGGTAAGGATCGTTGGACCCATTTACTACATCTGTCCTACAATCCACAGGTTTTTCGATCAGTTTGGATCTGGGGAGATCTCAGGAATCTCTACTCAGCTGTCCAGATTAACTTGCCCTTTTCTGCATCTTCAAAGTTGGGGTGAAGGATGACAATGTGCCTCTCCTTGGAGGGCATATTTGCTGACGCAATGCTGTTGTGAGAGATGGCTTTAAGATCAAAAGAGTATATATGTGGGAAAGGCTATACAACATGATATATTGAATTCTGAATCCCTTGAAGGTCAAGCATTAAGCAAAACAACCTTTTGCAAATCAACCAGAGGCAAATAGATGAGTTTAGAAAACAAATGTGAGGTCAAAGTTCCAAATACTTACTGTCTACTGTTCTTTATATCTTTTAATAAAAAGGTTTTAGCTTTCCACTAACCAAGCAGTGTGTGCCATTTCAAGATTTGAAATAGTGCTTTGAAAATGCCATCACAGATTGTTATCTGCTTAGAAATAATAGGTGAACATTATCTATAACATTTTATTACAGTTTTTAGCAGGAAAGAATAACATGTTCAATATCATATTGCTAGAATGGCACACATAGGTCCTATCCTGAAATGTACAGGACCTGGATTCATTGTGATAACAATAAAAACCTTCTTTTTTTCTTTTTTCTTTTTTTTTTTTAAAAAAAACCCTTTTAAATATTTTTCTTTATTATCTGTTGTGGTGCTCCATCCCATTTTTCATCCCAGTCCTGCCAGGCCTTATGTTTAGGAACAGACACGAGATTCATACTGAATTTCAAATCGGACTAGCAAAGTCTTTATTAAAACATTTCTGTCTTGTCTTTCAGTTTTGTTGCAGAATTCCCATGACAACTAAGACTAAGGGAAATCATCCATAAAACAAAGTAGTCAGAAAAGCAAAGATTGTATTGAATGCATCATCATAGTCCCCACTGCAGTCCCCTGGGCTTCCCTCCAAAAGATTATTTTGGGCATTGAGGGACTCTCAAGAAAAGCCATGGCTGGGTGAAAGAGGCTTCAGTGTAGAGCAGAATTAGGGAAATTTTGCACGTGGTAGCTTTTTATGCCAGTCCTTTTGCTTTTGGTTAGGACTGGCATTCAGTGAAAGCAATATCTTTTAGTTCTGCTGCAACATTTACTAGCCATTTATGGGCGGGTTGTTTTGAGCCATCTTTCCCATTCATTATGTGAGAGATCTTCTCAATGGAACTGTGTCCTCTTTGCAATCTGTATGTCCGTCCGCAAACAAAGGATGCATCTACACTGTAGAACTAACATCTATAGTTCAATGTTGTGGAATCCTGGGAATTGTAGTTTGGTGAGGTTCCAGCACTGTTTGTCAGAGAAGGATAAAGTCCTTATAAAACCAGTTTTCATAATTCCATAGTATTGAGCCATGCCAGTTAAGATAGTGTTGAATTGCACAAGTTCTACAGTGCAGATGTGCCACAATTGGCAGGAGATTTAGTAGAAATGACATTTCTTTTCCTTTTATCCAATTATTTTT